TATAGTATAAATAATTTAGGTCCCAAAACAGAACCTTGAGGCACTCCACATACAATATCCAGCTCACTTGATTGGTATTCACCCAACTTCACAAATTGACGCCTCTGTGTCAAATAACTTCTAATCCATTTCAGAACCATTCCTCTGATCCCATATTTTTCTAACTTGTCCATTAATAATTCATGATTGATTGTGTCAAATGCTTTTTTTAGGTCAATAAATATCCCCATCGTGTATTTCTTCTCATCCATAGCACTTGTAATGTCCTCCATCAGGTCGGTAATGGCCAAAGATGTCGATCGGTTCGACCTAAAACCGTATTGGCAATCAGAGAGGATTTTATTTTGTCAATAAATGTATCTAATCTGTTATTAAAGAGTTTTTCCAGAATTTTTGAAAATTGTGACAACAGAGAAACCGGTCTATAATTTGTGAAGTTGTGCTTATCACCAGATTTATACAGTGGAATAACCTTTGCTATTTTCATATTATTGGGGAACAATTCACACCCATATGCAAGTAAACATGCTGTCAAAGCCTCATTTTGCCTGCACCCCCTGTTTACTGTAGGAGAGACAGAGCATCATTAAATACTGGCTGGACAATCTACGTGCCAAAAATGGGGAGGTGCTTCATAATATCAACTTCCTGGAGGGCCAGCCTATCAGTAAGCTGCTTCCTTTAATCAATGTTTCGGCTGTGGAAATAATCCCTCACTTGGTTTGGGTTTGAAATTGTAAGGAGGCATGTTATCGACCTTATGGTTTACTTCACTTCATAGTTTCTCTTAATACTGTATCTACTCTGTTAACTGCTATACACGGTTCTATTTCTCTCTTTAAACAAATTAAAGTTGCATTAATTTCATCTTGCTTTATTCTATGCTTTGTTACTATCCACAGTCCAAGAACTGAGTGCAAGAGGTGTGATCCAGCAGGTGTTTCCTCTCCATGAGCAGAGGATCCTCAGTCAGCTCATGAAGTCTTGGGTCCAGGCTGTTTGTGAGAAACAGCCCTTAGGTCAGTATAGCGAACCATATATTCAGACACACACTGATATCAACCGAACACAGTAATGGTCCTGACTTAGTTTGAATGGCATACTTGTCATGTAAAGTAGTTCCATATTCAGCACTTTTTACATTTGTTTTTTTTAATGATCTTACTTATTCTAAGTTCTGTTTTTCCATGGTGTTTATAGATGACATCTGTGACTATTTTGGGGTGAAGATTGCTATGTATTTTGCCTGGCTGGGATTTTACACCACTTCTATGTTATATCCTGCTGTGATCGGCTTTGTGCTGTGGATGCTCACCGAGTCAGATCAGGTGAGGAGAAAAGCCATCATATCTTAAAACAACTTAAATCCCTGACTGAACAATGATACTTGCCAACCATAATCTTGAGCATCTGTGTGTTTTTGTTTGGGGTGTTTTAGACGAGCCGTGACATTTGCTGTGTGGTGTTTGCACTGTTCAATGTGGTGTGGGCCACGCTGTTTCTGGAACGGTGGAAGAGGAGGGGGGCTGAGCTGGCGTACAGGTGGGGAACACTGGACACACCTCCTGAATCCCTGGAGGAACCACGGCCTCAGTTCTGGGTGAGAGAAGTGAAAGCTCCGCTTCTATTCTCACATCTCATGCCTACTTCGGGCCCTTTTATGCCTTCTTCTCTCTTTCTTTGTCGGCAGGGGGTCAAGCGCTGCAGTCCCATAACAGGACGTGAGGAATTCTACTACCCTCCATGGCGGAGACGAGCATTCAGGTGGCTGGTCAGCCTGCCGATCTGCATCCTCTGTCTCTGCTTTGTCTTCCTGATCATGCTTATCTGCTTCGAGCTGCAGGTTAGTCAGCAAGACAAAACACCTTCTCCAAAAAGCTGAACTGCTCACCCGCCCTTAATGTTGAGGTGGTGAATGAAAATCTGGGATTGTGTCACTGCAGGAGTTTGTGATGGGGATCAAGGAAATGCCTCGGCTTGTTCGCTTCATCCCCAAAATCATGCTGGCTATCACTGTGAGTGCATGTGACGAGGTGTACAGGAAAATTGCCTGCTGGCTCAACGACATGGGTAAAAGTCAAGCTTCCAGAGATCCAAATCTACAGTTACATTCAGAGCAGATAATCTTAATTAAATTGTTATAATGTTCCTTGTGGATCTTTAGTAATCTCTATAGACTTCAGAGTGCCTATGAGAAAAATCTCATCATCAAAATGGTTCTTGTGAGTGGCTTGTCATTTCACAGTTTCTAATTTAACTATGCGTTCTAGAATCTTTTCTGATTTTTAAGAAACCCTGGCATTTCTTTTTCTTGCAGTTTCAGTTTGTAAATTCTTATCTCAGCCTTTTTTACATTGGATTCTACCTCAAAGACATGGAGCGTCTCAAAGAGGTAAGAAACCTTCCAGCTGTAATTTGTTTGATGTTGTTTCAGTTCTTCTGGTTTCCAACACTGGAAGATTCAATCTCATGGCTGCAGTCTTCCATTCTTAAATGCTTTGCTCTCTTACATGCATTGATTTCCATAACCATCCATCCATTTATCCATCTGTGGAAGATGCTGCTGGTGTTGTCTCTGTTAAGGAGTCTACAGCGGCAGTTCTGGGAGAATGTGCTGCCTTTCCTCTTCTTCAAGATCAAGATGCTTGTGGTCTCTGGTGCCTGGTTCTCCAGGGCTTTACTCAGGTCCAAAGTATGACCCCTCTCCCACCTCTGTCTGGGTGGGAGGTCCATTTCTGGTCACCTCCGTCGTCCCTCTGCATGCCACATTTTGACAATGAACTTGCAGCTTGCTTGGTAAAAAATATTGTGGTTTGTCTTTGTCCTTTCTGGTGAGCACTTGCAACTCCAAATTTGGTGATAGACGAGAGGTTTCATGCATTATTTTAAAATGTAACTATCAGGAGATGATTCATGCTTCTTTTTCTGACTGATTGAAACCACACAACACATCTTCTTCCCAGTGGGCCACCTCACATTCCTTGTTAAAAATCTTTGAGTAGCTTTCTGCCCAAACAGACATGCGAATGTGGCATCAACGTTTTTTTATTGGTGTTTTCCTGACGTATAGATTGTGTGAATCATGTTTTTGATGTAACTATCACCACTCGTACCTCAGTTTCTCACTCTGTCATTTTCTCTTACACTCTCAGCCAAAGTGCCACCTCATCCAGCTTGTCATGTTCTGTTACCGTCACCTGACTTCATAGTTTTCTCATGTCTGTGTAACAAACCAATTCAGCCCGGCTTTTTGTTACAGTAAATTTGTTGTAATTTAGAACTACATGACCACGTAAGACTAAAATAACCTTGATAAATAAAGCAGACATGACTTTTGTTTCTAGATAATTGTAGTGAAATAAATAGAAACAAAACGCTGTATACTAAGGCATTCAAAAACAATGGTGTGGTCCTTTAAGTGTCAGAAATGAAAACCATGTGGTCTGATTGTTTCTGCCAGTGTTTGACTCTGACTTATCTGGGATGACTGGCCCAGTAGGTACAGTAACAGTGGGAGAGCAGTAACTCCTCTTCTCAGGTTTCTCTCATTGACTGAAAATAACTTTCTGTCCACGCCCTGTCAGGATTTCATGCTTGTTTGCATTCTGTGCTATAGCTAGCAGTTCCAGTATATTGTGCATCAGCATTAATTGACCTGGAAAAATTGCTTTTAGACTGGAGCCAACAGTAAGCTTTGTGATGCTGCAGTCTGTAGTATGTCTGTCCTCTGGTGGCGGAGACCTACTCACCGCTCGGTTTGGAGTGTTACTGCATAAATCTGATTTGTTACAACTTGGGGTCTGTTTGCATTGTTTTTGCTAACATTTCTATAAGCTGTAACTATTTTTCTTGTGCCTCAATGCATCGTATACCATTGAAATGTGGTTTTAATGGCCTTGATGGACAAAGCCACAGTCAGTTAGATGGTGGATGTAATTGAGGCTGTCAGTGACAGAAAACATTTTGAATGTACAGGGCACATATTCAGCAGCACTTTTCTGTCTTATTTGCTTGTGAATAAAGTCTGCATAGAGATTAGTTTTGATTGATTTGTTGCATTTGTTCCATAAGACTGCATCTCACTGCTCTCATATTTTCTGTCCTGCTGGTCCTCTCGCTTTCTGACCAGCTCTGTCTAACCCCTTGCATACCAAGTTATTTGCATTTTTCCAGGGAATGCTACTGTGTTCACTCAGTATGGCAGGTCATTGTTTGTGACTCTTTCTCCCTGTCCTTGTCAGATGCTGGCCACTCTGCTCATCATACGCCAGTTCCTTCAGAATGTGAAGGAAGTGCTGCAGCCTTACCTGTATGAGCGCCACAAGCTGGGTGAGCTTACTCTGCGAGCTGTGTGGGACCTGCTGCTCTCAGTGCTGCTAAAATATGCCCGGCTGGCAGCTGGAAAAGCCCAGGCTTCTCCCACCGAGCAGACCGTGCCAGAACCCGGACTGAGGGGCGCCAAGCCTGGGGTGGGGCAGCCAGAAAAAAGGTCAGAGTCATTATTTAAACTCTCATTCAGTTAATAAACCCAATAAACATTCTCTATACCTCAGTAAAATTTACATGTACAGTGGGGTTGCAAGTTTAAAAGAGCTGAGATGAATCCTCTACTGATGTACACTGATCAGCCATAACATTATGACCACTTGCCTAATACTGTGTACACAGGAGCCAATGCGGCAGTTGATTGTCACCGGTGTCACTCAGAGGCTCACACTACATCTTGTGTGAATCTCTTTGCTGCCATATTTCTAATGTCAGTTTTTCCTGCTTCCAAAACATCGGCTTTGGGGACTGAATGTTCACTTGCTGCCTAATTCACCCCACACACTGACAGGTGCTATTGTAATGAGATAATCAGTGTTATTCACTTCACCTGTCGGTGGTCATAATGTTATGGCTGATCAGCGTAGTGTGTTAAAAGAAACGGCAACAATCTTATATGATCAGTGGGATGAACAATGACATTAATGTATTTACTTTTGCCATTCACACCAGCACTCAAAGTATTAGTCAGTACCGACAGACCTGCCTGGGTTTAAATAGAAGGCCACTTGATCTTCCTCTGCCATTGTCTGTGCACTACATGCAGCTATGATTCATGCAAGTCAGAGAGTAAATAGTCCATCACCACTGTGAGCAGTTAACACATTTTGTTTGACATTTGTTGGTCTGTTCAACTGTTCAACAGGGAAAAGAAATGTTTGAACGGGGGATGTGGGGTTGCTGATGAAGAGGAGGGGGGTGAGAGGGACGAGGCCGACAGTGGGAGGTTCAGTGAAGGAGAGTCAGAGGAGGAAAGTCTGATCGACTGTGGTTTGAAGCTGAGGAAAGTCAGCTTCATAGAGAAGGTACACTGCTGTGTGATAGCATAATGTTATGTGTGAATCTTCTGCTCTTGTTTCTGATTATTGGTTTAAAAAGGTGATATGCAAATACAGTAACAACAATTGTTATGTTAGGAATAATGGGTTTTGGTGTTGCTGACTGTTGCTGTTGTTATTTAGGTGGACAGAAGACCAATTTGCAGTGGGGCAGCCATGGACAACAGTTTCCTGGAAGAGGGGAGCCCCACGATGGTGGAAAAAGGAATGGACCCTGCCTCTGTCTTTGAAATGTGTGACGACGATGACGATAACGATAACGATAACGATAACGGCATTCATGATGTGAAGGAATCTGGTGGGGGAGGGACAGGTGCTACTGAGGGAATTGGTGCTGCTGTAGCTGGTGCTGCTCCGCTGCCTGCTGGGTCTGAGAGCGACACAACAATGCGACATAGAAGAAGAGGCAGGAGCACAGAGAGACCTGAGTCAAAAATAAAGAGGGACTCATGGATGGACCCACCTGAAGAGAGAGAGAGCACCACACTCACTCAGGCTGAGATGGAGAGCTGCATGCAGACATATGCTGTAAGGAGTGCATACTAAACTTAACCTGCACCCCCTTGTTGTATAATGGCATGTACAGGAAACTGCACAGTGTCTACCTTGTCATTTTATTTTTTTAATACAAAAACATACAAATTGTCACATTTGCTGCTCCTTCTCTAGCTCAAACATAAGCTAAACTGAAAGCTGGTAGCTGTCAAATAGCAGCACTTAAATGATACTTGGTAGAGCTGGTGTAATGATCCATTTTGTCCCTCTCAGGACACTTTCCAGGACTACCAAGAGATGTTTGTCCAGTTTGGCTACGTGGTGCTCTTCTCCTCAGCCTTCCCTCTGGCTGCCATGTGCGCTCTCATCAACAACATCATTGAGATCCGCAGTGATGCCTTTAAGCTCTGCACCGGTCTGCAGAGGCCCTTTGGAGTCAGAGTGGAGAGCATCGGCCAGTGGCAGGTCAGTGATACCTGTAAATGATAACATGAGCTCATGAGATTTTTCTTTTTCTTTTTTTTTTGTCTTGGTTGAAAGTTGACAGAATTCATTGCCTAGTGATATCCCCATGTGCTGTTTAAATCAAAAACACTGGCTATAAAAGTTGAAGACAGCTGATGATCATGTAAACACTAGTAACCTTAACTATGGTGCATTACCAAGAACTGAATGAATTAACTGAGCAGAACTGATTATTATGTTCTCAGCAAAAGAAGACATTGTTAATATTAAGAATGTTTTTTTCTTACACAGACTGCGATGGAAATCATGGGTCTGATTGCCATCATAGTGAATTGTTACCTGATTGGACAGTGTGGTCAGCTACAACGTCTCTTCCCATGGCTCAGCCCTGAGATGGCCATCATCTCTATCGTCATCCTTGAGGTAGCACAGCTCGTTCTCGCTTGTCAGTGATTAGAGCAGTGCTTTGTCACACCTTTTCTCTGGACACCGGCATTTTCAGCATCACCCTTTTCTTATGAACCAGCACAACATGTATGCTAATCAATCATTTAATTTTTTAACATGTGTTTTTATATACCTGTAAAGGAGATTTAAAAAAAACATTCTAGAAGTATACATGGTGACTGGTCAGTAAAGGCCTGATAAAGAAGTCCGCCCTTTCACAAGGAGAAAACACAGCCTAAATGTTGTTGTGCAACAGTATTGTGAAACATTGTGACCAGTTTCTGACTGCCACACAGTTTTTACATTTAGTTATATTTTTGTTTATATCTGCTGGTCTGTCTGCAGCACTTTGCCGTTCTCCTGAAGTACATCATCCATGTGGCCATTCCTGACATTCCTACATGGGTCCGAGAGGAGATGGCTAAACTGGATTATCAGCGCAGGGAGGCCTTTAAGGTAAATTCTCAGACAATGTAAGACTAATGCAGGGTTCTCATTGTAGTAAGGAGTTTGTTTGCTAGCTAGCTAGTATTGTGATGGTTAGCTGGGTTAGTGCTGATTCTAGTAAATGCACTGGTGGAATGTGTTCCTTGTCATACAGAAGCACGAGCGGCAGGCACAGCAGCATTACCAGCAGCTGCAGAGGAGGAAGAAGGAGGAGGAGGAGCGGCAGAGGCAGGCAGAGCATATAGCGCGCAGGGAAAGGGAACGGGACGACAACAAGGGTGACGCCTCAGGGGATCATCACCATGACAAAGGTCACAGCAGCAAGTCACGCCCTGGGGGTGGAGGAGGAGGGGGTACTGGATCGGACAAACCCAAGAGGCCCAGCTCTCTGCTGGCTAACAATAACGTGATGAAGCTGAAGCAGATCATCCCTCTGCAGAGTAAGTTCTCGTCGGGTGGCGCCCGCTCCCCTCAGTCACCCACCGGCAGCGAGCCAAAGCTGCCTGGGTTCCTGAGCTTCAAATTCCTCAAGTCACCTGAAAATAAGAAAGAAGGTACTGCGGCTTCTGCGGGCGTCACCACAGTCACTAATGCCACAGCAACAGCAACATCATCTTCATCATCAGGTAGCAGCTCTCAGGAGCGATCTCAGTCACCCAGCAAAGCCTTCAACCCTGGGAAACTGTTCAACTTTGGGAAGTCTGAGGGGGTGACATGTGTGAATGGGGCTCCACTGCCCAGATCTGGAGAAGGACCATCATCACAGGCATCAGAAAGACATCCATCCAGGGCTGACCTGAACGGTGTTCCGGATGAGATCCCCTCGCCCAGAGGAGAAGAGTTCGAGAACGGGCATTCAGCACACTTGGACCCAGCTGGCTCTAAAGTCTAGTAGCTCCAGAGAGAATAAACCTGTCTTTGGTCACACCTCAACTGAAGAAGTGAAGTGTTTACTGTGGGCCAAGGCCTGACCTGCCCTCTGCGCTGTCACGGGCCAAGTGTAGAAGTACTTGAAGTAGTGAAAGGAAAGATGAAACTGATGGAAGATGACTGTTGTTTTGGTTTGCTGTTTTTGCTGAGAGACAAAAAAAACAAAAGACATAAGCCCTCATATCATCACCCAGTAAAAACACACACACATGTTCCCTTACACACACAAACAATACAAATCCTTCCTTCTCTGCAATACATGAAGAAATGCATGAGCTGCGTTTCTAATATTTTTAAGCCTTTAAAGTAAAGAGCTGTGTTTCTTGATTTCTTCAAGTCAAATATTGTATTTGGGAGACACACACTAGGACACAGTGGAGTGGAGGACAGACGACAAAACAATTTTCAATATACAGTAGTATGGCAGGATTACAGATTGTACATCAAACTACTACTGAGAGTGTTTTTTAGCTATCACAACACAAGTGATCATTAGATACGTGTCATTTTTAACTGAGGAATTCTTGGACCCTTTTATATGGAAGTGGGAAAAATGGAAAAGCAATATCAGTTAGCTTCAGTTATTCTTATCATAAAAACCCTCCCTTAATAAGCAACCATGATGCATCACCAGCTTTATTTTCAAAGCAGAGGTGATATTTAAGCTCTGTACACTCCACCCCACCCTATGGCAGAATCAGGTTTGTTTGAAAACAAAGTAAAGAGCTTAGTAAGTCAAGCTGTCGTATACCAGTATTTTCCCCAAGAGACTGTAAGTGGATGAGAGACTAGGAAAAAGAAAAAAAAAAGCAGATGTAAACAAAGGTGATTTTCAGAAAATGGAGCATAGATGCCTGTTGAGCGCTGCTCTCTATCCCAGCCAGCAGAGCTTCTTGTAAACACAGATGGTGCTCCGGTCCACACCAGACTTGGCAAACAAGTGCAGAGTTAAAGAAGTAACATTTGCACTAAACACCGATGCCCTGCATAGAAAGCTCCCTGCAGGAGAGAGGGCTGACACCAGCCTGAATCATAACATTATGCAAAAGCTGGATTGTTTGATTTCCTCCTCTCACACAGTACATGCCGTGGCACTCCTCTCTGCTCCCAGCATCTATGGGGTTTTCCTAAATATTCAAATACTTTTTTTAACAATAGCTTTTTAAGTTAAGCTCCATGCCTTTTTTTATATGCGCCATTTCCTGATAATTTGTTTTTTAACCAAAGTGGTATTTTTAGATTGTATTGTTAATCCAAGGTGCATTGTCTGTATATTTTGTTAACCCTGTACTTTTACCATTAATGGTAAAAAAACAAACAGCTTTGTCAAGCACATGGGTCTAAAATCTCCCATAGTTTCAACTGGGTTGAGATCTGGTGACTGTGAATGTCATAGTACATGATTCACATTATTTTCACACCCATCAAATCATTCAATCACCCCTTGTGTCCTATGGATGAGGGCACTGTCATCCTGGTAGACATCAATCATTCATTCAAGTTTTTCCTTTGTCATCTGCCGGTATGTTCCTCACATCATCGACCATTAACTAGAATTTCACGTCTGCAGGGTGTCCAGAAGGTGGCGCCAGAGCTTATCGGCATAGAAAAATGTGTTGCCGAGCCACATTTATTCACTGTGTCTACTTATAACATCAGTTTCTAGTCATCAGTGACGGTGAAATTAAGTCTGGTGTCTTGCTGGCGGCAGGTTAAGAGCACTTTAAAATGGAAATGCATTATGGGGTCATTAAAAAGGAAGTTTCAGAGGCCATCACACTGTAGGCTGAGACAGAAACATTCACTATGCATTTCCACACCCACCTGCAGCACCAGCTGCTTCTGCATTATCCAGATTCTATGCATCTTTTCTGTGTCCCCTCAATTTTCATCATCAGTGTCAGCGCTCTCAGCCCCCTTCTGTCCTGATAATGTGACAAATCCTCATTGATACCCAGTTAAAATGAACAATAATTGCATCCATTTACCACTTTGTTGACAGACTGTCTAGTTTAGGGGTTTTTCTATTTTGTTTGTATGTCTGAAGCAGCTTTTCAGTCACGTGCTTAAAGAAAATACAAAAAATGCACTTCGGCAGACAGGCAAAAACATCGTAACTACATCTGTACTTCATGCAATACATAAATAAGCAAGACAATTTGTGTGGTCACAGTATCATCTTACTGTCAGTCTGCAGTACGTTCATTTTATTGTTCGAAGTCATGTTTTATTATATGTGTAAAATGAGAAGAACAAGCCTGAGAGAAACGTAATAGTTCCAATGTATCTGTGTGTTAGTCTCACAGGCTGGTCAATGTTAACAGGAAACGTCAAAGCAGAACAGGAGCACAAAAGAGATCAAGATGTTGCAGCGTAGCTGAACAGTCTCAACAAAATCCTGTATTTTTGCAGCATTTCGATTTCAGGGATGAATGACACCATGATGCAATAGAGTCCATTTATCATTGCTTGAACGTTTAAAAGGTTTGGCAGTGTAGAAAAGACAATGTCCTGGTAGAGGTGATGAAGGTGATACTAGCATGTCACAACAGAGCTTAGGTCAGGCATCCAAGTGTGTAGTTTGGCCTTATTCAGGGAAAACTCACAAATTGATCAGAGAAATTGACGGTATAAACCAGCTTATCACGTCTTTCATCTTGGCAGCAGAACATTTTGCATAATGCTGTCGTGAGGGTCTTTAAACAGGCATTAATTGAAGTAAAGCAACACATTGAACAGCTCTAGTTATCAACTATCCCATGCCAGAGAAAGTGCTGTCACGGTTTCCTTGGGCTAAGCGCAGGTGACTGTCGCAGAAGGACAGCAGCTCAGACAGCTGAGACCCATCAGCTGTCTCAAATTCACTATTAAAGCAGCAGCCATCCTTTTAAGAGTTTGGGCTTGTCTACACCATCAGTCATGTGAAATCAGTGGAAAGTACTGAGTGAATTCAGTAAATGTGGCATCTTCTGGATTTTAAGAAGTGAGATTCAAATCACAGTGACATTAAAACCTGACTCTAACCTCAAGAGTTTAAGATAAGACATCTTCAAGGAAGCCTCACTTATCTGAACATCATATGCTCTTCCAATGTACCACTGTACAAAAAATGAAAATATTTTAAAGAAAAATACTGGGAAAAGGGACTATTTATTTCTTTTAATTTATTTTGTCATATTTTTGTAAGACTGGAAAAATAGTTAATAAAACTATTTCAAATGCATTTCATGTGTTGCGACCAACTTGTTTCTGCAAAGCCATCACTGTGCACATCTTCTTCCTTCTCACCAACATTAATCCCAATAACAGGACTCACAGAATCTCCTAAAGTCCAGAAATGTAATCCTGTATTTAAAGTACCACATCACAAAAATCCGGTTTGAATCTCGTTTTATTTCAGCAAAGCTAAAAAGAACAGATCTGATCTAACACACATGAAATTGGGGCAAGGCTTAGGGTGTTGTAGAACAGTCTGAGCACAAGCATAATGTGGTTTTATGCTTCAGAAACAGACAGGGTATTCACACTGTAGGTCAGGATGACTGAAAGCACAGTCAGCCCACACTGCAGCACTTGACTCATGAAAAGGGCAGGAAGGACAGGAGACTTCAATGCGACTCTGCTGGGCAGTTTTCTTTTTTAAAAAAAAAAGCTTGAATTCAGTGTTGTACAGTGAGATCAATACAAACTGAACCCCGGGAACAAGGCAGAATGGCGACTGCACGCTGCTGTGCATGCTTATTGTGCATTCTATGCCTGAAAATATTACACATTTAAACCCCCGTGTTCACCTAAGCCAGCTCTCAGACGAAACCCATCCAGGGCTGTCACACAGACCAGACCAACAGTGCAGCTTTCCCAGGACCTGAGCTGGGGGAGCAAACGGGTCCAAACCATAACGACAGGTTGTAAGGCCTCTAGGCTAATACCTTTCAGTCACACTGATAAACACCCCTTAAGTTATTACTGTTGCAGAAATGCAACACCCAGCCATAAAAAACATCAGCATGCAAGGCAAGGTAACACCCACCGGCCATGGTGCTCTTCACTTTTCTTCTACAGGGCCTTTCTATCGTTTCCATGGACATTGATTTAAAAAAACAAAACAAAAACACAAAGATACTCCATTGGACAGACCAATTCTATTATTAGTAGTTGTTTACACACAATGTGTCCTTTTCCATACATTCTTATAGTTTTCTTCACTATCTGTGCTCTTACCAAGTTGTGCAACTTAAATATCCAACAATACAATGAACATTTTCATAGTCAGATTTACATTTTAACACCCTTTGTTGAAAGAACAACAAAAACATCAAGGTCAATCCCATTCTTGCTGACTTCCACTAGGCAGAGTTTGGTGCTAGAAGTAAAAGTATCACTCAGACACACCAACACAACATATATCCTACAAAAAAAAGTCTTGAGAATAAAATCGAGATATGCACATTCACCACAAACACACAACTTAAGGGGGCTGTGGAAAAGTTGCTTCTACTTTGTGCTGTTCTTCACAGTGCATTCTTGGTTGTGTTGATTCAAAACAGTGTGGAGAAATGTTGCAATGCCCCCATATGATTGCAGAGTGGGCAGTGAAACAGAGGGCGGGCACTGTGGCTGGCAGGAAGCTCGTTGCCAAACACAAACAATACTAGTTATAATAAAATTAAAACAGTAACAAAATGTCATCTTTGCACAAACCACGACAGGCTCTTTGTGCAACAGAAGGCTACACAAATCATGTGCCAGCTATGAGACTGATTTTAAATCTACTGACACGTTAAACTATTCACTTCTCATACATACAGTACAACACATTACACACACACACACACTCACTACTCAGCAGTCAAACATATATACTGTACATGTCCACACAGGGAATCACCAACACAAATAAAAGAAAGAAAAGTATAAAGTCTCCTCACTAATGGTGGCTCTATTCTGTCTGTGACCAATGATGACTGAGCTCATTTCTGTTTACATTTTCATGCACAAAATCATTTACAGGAGAAATGACTGCCTTGTTGATGGGAATCTCCCTAATTCACTATGATGACTCTTAATTTCATGGCAGGAAAGACATCCTGCCTGAGTACACAGTGGTTAGAAGTGGTTATTCAGGTGGGCTTCTTCTTTGTTTTGTTTTTATTTTGGCTATATCCCATATATGCAAACACACACACACACACACACACACACACACACACACTTATGAGTCCTCATTCATCTCTTGGCTATCTGTTCTGGCGATCTTCCTTGGGGGTGCTGGGCTGTCACTCTCACCTTGTTCCTGTTCCCTTTTCTTTGCTGCATTCTGTTTGACGAAGGATTATACAGCGGTCAGTAAAACCACACACAAGTTTCTTTCATAATAATTCAGCAACCACAAACCAAACATTAATGAGGTCCATGATGACTTGACTGTCAATAAATAAAGCCAGGCTTTGGATATTAAGAAAAAGTACATCACATGCTCACCTTTTTGTCCCACTGCTGATGGAGGTAACGCAGAAGGATGTTGGTTTTCTCTGTGACAATAACTGTAGGGCAATCACAGCCAGTATTTAGTGAGGAACCACGTTTAAAGCTGTTCAGTTTAGGGCAGTCTCCACTAAATGGTGCCAGTTTAGTCTTGGCTAATACTCTAATTAAAACACATCAGTAAACAACTATAACAGTCTTCTATTAATAAAGCTTGACTGCACGTTTAGGGCTTAATGTTTAACACACACCTAGAGTCTGTACAGTGAGTTTGGTACTTACTCTGCTCAGAGGGGTATTCACGTGTCGGGAGGTACACAGAGGGTCTTCGATTCTTACGCAGAACAAAAATAGGTTACAAATTACAGTAGTATGTTTTTCTTATGCATTTGTCAGTAAATTAGTTAAGGAGCAGTCATACTAGCACGTATGATGGCCTCTGTGATTTGCCTTGTGTATGAGCAAACATAACAGCTGTCACACATGTAATCTACAGCAAAAACTCAGTGGGATTAGTGACAGTCGGACAAAAGAAGCATTATCACTGGGTACTTACAGATGCTTTGCAAACAGAGTCTGCATGAAACCTGCTGAAGTTACTCTTATTGTAGACAGGGAGTCCTTTTAAAAATTCAGCCTGTTGACAGAGGGTCAGGTGATCAGAAGACCTGGTTTTCTTTCATCTTAAAATTAATCTGATTCTAACCACTGCAAATGTCATCTACTTCCCCACACAAAGATTCTACTCTTAGCAACTGACTGTTGTTATTCACCTGTGGCATTTCATGACAAGTCCAAATCACTTAACATCAGTTTAAGGGTCAATACGGCTGTTATATACGGAGGGGTGGTGAAAAACACAGATAAGAAGTCTCTGCAAATGACTAGATACAGAATAGGAGTCACTGAGTCGATGCTGGGCGTTCCCTCATTTTGACACCCCATGCACTGCACGCTAAAGGGCCTTCTACTCTCCCTGCAAGGTCCCCAGTGACCTCCCATCTGGAGGCGATGATATCAGATAGATTGTACGGCAAGCGGTTTCAAATTAGCAAGTCGGAGCTGAGCAGTGCAGCTCTCACAACGATGCCGGTTTGGGCTTGGTAAATGGATGCCAAAAGGAGGAGCAGGTGTGGCTAGCATCAAGCAACAACCCACAGTTAGCCCGCTAGCTCTTATCATATGTCATTAGAGAAGTGTAACGTTAAAGCAGCTGAAACTAAAGTTACACATCCAGTGTAGCCTTGTGTAGAGTAGATACCTTCTCCATGATAAGGGTAGAAATTTCCAACGTCGAAATGCGGACCTCTGGTCTTTGCTTGGTGTCTATTATACTGCTCGCGACGCCAGGCAGTGTGAGAATGTTATCGTTAGCCGCACTAGCTAACTGGCTACTTAATCGAATCAGCGGTCCTGTCTGTTCTTATCGGAAAAGAAAACAACCTTCACACAGAAGTCGTTGTTCCCATTCTGAATCCCACTAAAAAATGGCACCACACTGGGTAAAATGAAACAAAATTGTCATCGTATAAGTTAGCAAAGCTAGTTACACAGGACTTCAGCTAGCATGATGGCTTGATAGAAGCGATGCTCCTTAGCCACGCCCCTAGAGCGTTCATTGGCCTATCTCCGCTTCCATGTGGTAGCAGCTTGACCAGACAGCCAATAATTAAACAGATCTGATTTTGGCTCCTCCCTAGAACAGTAATAAGGCCGTGTGCTTTCCACATGACGAGTTTGATTATCAAAAACAACACCGGCAGTACAACATTTTAGAAAGTATTACATGTATACGTGTATTTCGCAGAGCCCAGGCCATTTTCTGTTATCCTTTATTATTCTATTCGTAAGTTCATTCTATACAATAAGAACAACAGCAGAATGAAATACTTCTCTCAAGGCTAAAGTAGCCTATAGAAACCAGTGGTATAAAAACACAAGTCAAAACAAAACCATCAAGACATTTTGTGCTGTTTTGTCACAACTGGAGTTACATACATTTTGACATGGTATATCTTGTTGTATCTAGGCCAACCGGTGAGTTGACCGCATTATGATTTATTTTTTGTGAATGGATATGGGTCAATATGTGAAAGAACCTAGCAGTGACTGAAATCATATGACTGAACCAAAAAGACTCCAAATTAGAAGCACCAAAAGGTGTTGTTTTGGTTTTACTTTTAAATATTTAAAGGTGCAACAGTGCTTGTGTCCTTTTGAAGCCACGGTGTTCCTTCATTCCCAGTATATGGTCTTTTCAGCATCATTAATATTAATATATCCTAGTTTTTGACCATCACTGCATCTCATGATAAACTTGTGGATCAACTGTAATATACTACAGCTATGAGGAAACCTACATTTTACAGCCACTGACTGTAGTGGGTTTTCTGGATCTTGATGGTCTCTCCTTATAAACAGTTACCTAGCAACAACAGCCATGGTAACAGCCACAGCACCAGCTTCTTCAGATGCTGGAGAATGGAGCACTGATAACATGGAGCTGATATTCTGTGTTACTGCAGAATATTTTTCCAACTTGAGGAGATTTGTGTAAAACAGATATGACAAAAATAATGACAAATTAAAAGGAATTGGAATTTTTTTGTCTTTGTTTATGTTAAACCAATTTTCAATGTTAAACCAAACTTTCAGATTCAATAAACCAAAGTTAAAAAAAAAACTTATTAAGCATTTAATTAAGGAAGTGCTAAAAGTATGTAATATTTAGTACACCAGATTTAACCAGACTTAAAATCAAACAAAGTAACTTGATCTCCTCAGGCTGGTTATGGCCCTAATGGAGATGCTTTTCATGTAACCTTTATAGTGTGGCTAATGGCTACACACAGCTCCTAAGGTTTGCTCATTTTGCACATTTGCTCATTGCTGCATTGTCAAACTCATTAGCAGACTAATGAAGATGCACAGGCCATAATATCTCCGTTATCATAGCTAGAGGCTTGCAAACTCGCTACATATAAATGTGGACCCACATTTGTTGAGATTCTTTCTGAACAGGTTTGTATATTAGGCTCCAGGCTACAACAGAGAGAATGATCTTTTATAGATAAGGCACAATTATTATTAATATTAGTAATTATTTTAAAATAAATCACTCTGCGATACTTTTAATGCACACCACGTTTTAACCACTACATAGTCTTTTTTAATGAATTCATCCCCTGGTTGTCTGGCGTCATACTGTAGCAGCAGGGGGCAGCGCTTCACATCCTCAAACTGACACCAAGCCTTTAGAGTCGCACCAGCAGCTGATGGTTTCCACTAAACTGGTCCGGCTGAGCTCCGGGTGCGCTTCCAAGCGCTATCACCATATTCCAACACGGAGTCCTGGAACAAGCAGCTATGTGGATCTTCTTCTGAACCATGCCAAGATACGCTGTTATTGGGCCGATACTGTCCGCCATGCGGAGGCTGTTTACAGCACGTCTCAATCCAGATCAATTAGATTATTGGATTGACGGCAACAGATTACAGCTCTCCTTCTTCCTCGATGCTTCATAAGAAAACCACATCAGTGTGATATTTCACGCAGCGTTTTCGGATATAAAGGTTGGTATTTTACGTTATTCCCTGTGTTGTTGCATTATTTTTAGACTGCGACTGTTTGAATAGTACAGCCTATGGAATATATGAAGTAGGTCGCTACAAAAATTGCGCGGTTGTCAACCAAGCAGGTTATTTGGTGTGTTAAGTGTACAATTCTAAAATTCTTGGCATCAATCTAAACATAAAGGGGAATATTCTGGTATTTGCTTTATCAGACGACAGAGAGTGGCCTATTCAACTCGATGTTATTGTCACTAGTGAATAGATGGATCCTAAAACACCTGTAAAAGACGTTTCAGCCTATACCAGAGCTACTGTTGACATTGAAAAGCTCATATTTTTCTTTTGTTTAAAGTTATTTTCCTTTTTTTACCTATAATGGATCTGTAAGTTTTTGCATTCTTGACAAATGGACACAAACGTGAATAATGTGTTTAAGTTTGCAAAACAGTTTTCAAATAAAACCCATAAGGCCCAGCATGCTGTGATCAGGATGCAGCCTTAGAACTGTGACCAAATGCTAATTACATTGTTTAATTGAATAATTCAAAGCTGTAATGTTTCAGTACAAAGCAACCTCCAGACAGGGATGGCTTATATGACTTAAGATGTGTATAACACAATGTTGTAATTCAGTTCGTTTGTTCTTTATTTTTTCCATGCACAAGTTATATAAATTGATTTCTGATGTAGTCTGTTTAACAGGTAAACAGATGGTATACTACTATTTAAAAGTGAAATACACTTCATTTTAATGTTCAGTGACACAGTCTACAAACAGTGCCCACAGTTCTGTAACTGTTTTTAATGTTCATGTCAGTTTCTGCTCTGTTCTGGGCCTCAGCTCCCACTGTCCCACATTGTGTCTGACTTGTGTGACTTGTTATATAACAGCCTCCTGCAGCCACTGACAGCACAGGTCAGGTAGAGACTGCAACAGGAATCAAACATATAGATAGGCATGATAGTAGTGGATCCTGTGTTGCCTACATGGAAGCATCATGGAGGAGGAGACAAACTACCACAGTTATGAAACACATCTCTGGGAAATGTTGAGGTAAAACTGTGCTTTCTCTATAATAAATCTCATTCAGTTTGAAGAGTTAAAGCTCGTGAGTGTTTTGATCATAAGATCACCCTGATAAATGTGAGTGGGAAACTCAGTTGGAAGCTCTTGCTTCTCCCTCATCACCTCATCACCCTCTGCTGAGGCAGTTTAACACCTGACAGCTTCAGTGGCCAATTACCTGAAGTGTGACTGTGTACAACACTGTACAAAATAACTAACTGAAAAATACCCCCCCCGGATTTGCATATGTGATCTGGATTTGTGATGGAGTCTGATCTCTGCTATCGCATAGCTCACCTACTAGATGAATATGATGTGATGCCAAAGCATCGGTTGCCTGCTCTCTCGTTCCATAACAAGCTGGACAGTTTATGTTGCGATGCTGGAGAGTCTGTTGCTCTGTGAGTTTCCCAGCCTGCAGGTATGTTTACCTGCTTATTAAATAACACATGAAGAGTAGATTAGAAAGAGACTGTGTTTAATGGTATATGACAGAATCTTTAAGTGCAACATCATCTCTGCGTTTGGCTACTGTCACAAAGAATCCGTCTGTGTTCTAATTGACTCTAAGTTGATGACTAACATTTTACAAATGGGAGGTGGGTGGGTGGATGAGACTTTTTTAGGGGTAGACAAAGGGTTTTGGATTGGTTTAGACCACATTAGGAAAACATATATAGTATTTCTCAATTTTAAATGAAATAAAAATGATATAAAGTGACACTAAAAGACCTTATACAACACAGAAATAAAGAACTCCATATAAAACAGGCCCAGCAAGGATGACTGAATGCCTTTTGGTGCAAGAACAATATTAGAGGTGAATGTATCACGCTCAGGGATAAAACCTGCTCAGCCTCCCACACACAGTGCTGCACAACACTGCTGTTTGGATACATGATGTGCAGGCATAAGCAGAAGGAGCATGAGGACAACCAACAAAGCAGGAAGGTTTATTATAGCGTGTCCATAATCCCCAGATGACAGTAGCGGCAGGGAAAAATTCACCACACAGAGGGTAAAACTGTTGCCACGATGTCACTGTTTTCACCAAGAGAGGAGGTAGACAGATTGTGTTGTTTGGAGACAGAGTATAATCTCCTGGGGAGGGAGGGCAGCAACAGCAAGGCATGATAATGCCTCCAGCAGAGAGGCGTGCACACCCTGCTCTGCTGTTGTCATGACTGATCATCAACTGAGAGCCTAGTACAGTATATACTGTACCGTACTCCAGTATGTATGAGACCTGCATTATAAGCAGCCTCATTCATTCTTTGGACATTAATGTCTCTGATGGCAAATTGTTTATGCTTTTTCAAAAAAAGGCCATGTGGAGCTTATGAAGAAGCAGATTTGTCACCAAAGACATTTACTATTTCACCATGTTAATCCTAAGGACTTCCACAAAAAAGGTCATGTGAATGTGTGTGTTCTCTATACGAGCCATTAATAATCTAACTCTCCTTTACTCTTTAAAGTGATTTTCAAAATATTCATCTTGCTCACTCCCACTGGTTCACACTCCTAAAAGTACCATTAATTACTTTGGTAGTTTCACATTGTGTGCCACTGCAGCACAATCACATGGGAAACAGCTTGAGCTCACAGAGCTATTACTGTCCCTGTCTATTAATACCCCGAGGAGCCACGGCGAGGGAAGATGCCACTCAGTTTTGCCTGACAAAAAGTCGCAAGGGTTCAAGAAGCAATTAGACACCAGACTGTGTTTGAAGGCCATGATTTGCTAACCCCTGGACATAGGAACACAGCATAACCTCTCACATTAGGTGGCACAATCGAAACCTATCAAAGCTTTAAACACTGCTTGAGGTTTTTAGGCAGAGTAAACCCAGTAAAGGACTACCATGAACCTGCAAACAGAATTATTTAATAATTAGTCTCCACTCTGAAGAGGTTAGCCACATTTAAACAAATTATATTTTAGCTTATGTAATAAACATTATACGCAGCTTTGAACATCACTTCGTACGATGTCTAACACCGCTACAGCTCAAATAATAACTCAATAAAGTCAAAAAGTTTAGAAATTTCATATAGATTTAAAGAGAGTTACAGCATAGCAGCAAGCAATAATACAAAATATTGAAAACCATCAGCAATTATTGTTTGATTTGCTTACAACTCTGTAAATCATAAAGGCACAAGAACTCGTTTATGTCTCCAAAGGGTGCATTTTTCCTCGATGCTCATTTGATGTAGAAATTGAAAGTTCTTCTGAAGATAAATTATCACGTTTCCTAAAAATGACATTAATACAGTGATAACAAAGCCGATGCCTACACTGATATTTGGAAGTAAGAATATCATGGTAATGATATAGTGAGTGATTCTTTTTAAAACAGGTGTGTACAGTTTAGATGTGTACAATCTGAAGTTATCATCTGCTTCTTTTCTGCATATTAACTGACACATAACCAAATCCTGTTACTGCTCTCTAAGTTGTCTAGTCTTTAATCTGAATTTTCTTTAACCTTTAAAAACTGCAACTTGGTTTCTTTTGATATAAAGCATCTGAGATGCATTTGAGGCATCACAATCCATTTCACTTAATACATTTTGATGTATATATATGTGTGTGATAAGCCAGTATTGTCCAGTAACAACAGCCCTAAACAGAACACTGATCAGTTGAAATAGAGACAGAAACACATGAGTTAATACAATTCATGCAGATGTTTGACTTTACTTATTTTACCAGTGTTTACTGTCCTTATAGTCTCTATAGCTTTAAGTTGAATAGGGTCCTTGCTTGTAAACACTGGTTATAAACAGTTTATCTGGTTTTCTGTCCCACCAGACTGGCAGCCATGCTGACCAGCTTTATGGAGGGTCTTCTCTGTTGCCTCACCTCAAAGTCAACCAATATGGTGGTGCCTATAGAAGCGTCAGAACCTGCCGACGGCTACGAGTTTGTGGAGGTGAAACCAGGCCGCATCCTGCAGGTTCGACATATCATCCCTGACCGGTCTGTGGTGGAGGAACCCAGTGGGCAGGGTGGGAGCATCAGCTGCAAACGAAAGATTACAGTGTATCGTAATGGACAGCTGTTCATTCAGAACTTAGGCGACAGAGTGACTGCAGAGCTGAAAACCTGCCAGAATGGAGAGAGAGAACTAAACAGTACTTTAGAGGTTGAACTGACAGACTGTGGGAACTCCTCACTGCCCGCCAGCATCCTTGAGGCCAGGTCAGACTCCAACATAGCTAGAAACAATGGGGCATCTGAAACAGGAGGAGAGGCGCCTGCAGCCGGTCGGACTGACCATTCCCAGCAAGCCAGGAAGTGCAGGCGGAAGCCCAAGCGCACCGTGGTGATCGACACTGAGAGGAAGATATCGGCCTGTAAAGGGACGCATTCAGACGTGGCCCTGTTCTTCATCCACGGAGTGGGGGGCTCGCTGGACATATGGGGAAGCCAGATGGACTTCTTTTCCAGGCTGGGCTACGAAGTGATTGCTCCAGACCTGGCAGGTCATGGAGTCAGCTCAGTGCCACAGATAGCTGCAGCGTACACTTTCTACGCCCTGGCTGAGGATATAAGGCAAATTTTCATGAGATATGCACGCAAGAGGAATATTCTCATAGGACATTCTTATGGGTAAATTTAAGATTACAACATTCAACTACAACACAGTGGACCTGAAAGAGACCATCCAGAAGGGTTCAGAAATGATCCTCCAAGAATTAGTTCAATGTCAGCAATGCTTTCTGAAATCAGGTTTTTCTTTAGGAAGACAGAAATCTACCTTTGGGTTCCTGTGTTTCTATTTGGTTCCCCATTGCACACAGCAGCATAAGAAAGACGTTTCTTATTTACATATTGTGTAATTACGACAATAATTAAAAGAACACTGATAAACCTCTCTAGTTTATCATTTGAAACTATTAGTCATACTCTTACAGCTATTTGCTATTATGTTGGTCTCTTCTGACTAAGAAATCTAAGCCCCCAAAATTCAATTTTCACCCCTAAACAAAACCTCGTGATTACCTTGTTTTTTTTTCCAGCTTATCATGTAACTAGCCTTCGCTTCTACTTTCCTAGTGCGTCGTTCTGCACGTTCCTGGCCCATGAATATCCTGAGCAGATTCACAAGATGGTGATGATCAATGGAGGCGGTCCCACAGCTCTGGAGCCCAGCCTGTGCTCCATCTTCAACCTGCCCACCTGTGTGCTCCACTGCCTCTCTCCGCTGCTGGCCTGGAGCTTTCTCAAGTAAGGCAGACTGCATGTTGTTTCTGGCTCATCTGTCCACAGTTAGTAGACTACAAATAATTAACTGCTACAGACATATTTACAAACCAAAATAACTGCCATGATTATAAGACAAATGTCTTATAATCAGTCTCCTATGTGCAGAATCATGCCAGTTAGACGCAGCCTTTAATGAAAAGCTCACTAACTTTTTAAATGGATTGTTTGTGGATCTTATTAAATACAACAGAATGTAACTTAAAGATGTCAGGTAACCTTCATGGACTAACATTTATGTACAATAGTGAAAATAAATAATTGCATTTGGCTGAAAAAATGAAAAGCAATGAGCAAGAAAAACATGCCAGAGGACAGTGACGTGACACTGCCACGTGGTACTGTGTGTATGTGTGTTTATTACACCTGCAGTTTGACGTCATCAGAATCCAGTTTTTCAAGCCCCTTCTCTACTCTGCCTCCTACAGGGCTGGCTTTGCTAGACAGGGTGCCAAGGAGAAGCAGCTGCTGAAAGAGAACAACGCCTTCAACGTGTCGTCCTTTGTGCTGCGCGCCATGATGAGCGGACAGTACTGGCCTGAGGGGGACGAGGTCTACCATGCTGAGCTCACAGTGCCCACCCTGCTGGTTCACGGCATGCACGACAAGTTTGTTCCCATCGAAGAAGACCAGCGCATGGCAGAGGTAAAGGGGCTTCTTCAGCCCTGTAATCATGGGATCCAAATTGTGAAAGTGATCACAGTAAAGAGCACTGAAATTTTAGCTACAGTTACACGAGAGAACCAGATAGTTCAAATTAGTAGTTATGTAGGAATCATAAGAATTAACATCAAAACTAAATTTTTTTTTAAGATACTGTAGTTTAGGCCCTGAAGAATAGCATTTTGAGAATATGCTCCGATCAAGAAATCAATAAAACTAACCAGACATGCATGCCACCTCTCACCCCTCCATCCCCATGTTTACTGTCTGCCTCTCAGCTGTAAAATTCCCAAAAATGATGTTAATGAGCTAAAAAAAATGCTCCCAGACTGACTTGTGAGGCTAGATAGAACACCAAGATAGAATTCAATAGTGTTGATAAATAAAATGCCATTTTCTTGATACTATATAAATCGCTACAAGAAACAGGATGTGGGCAGTGAGAACCAAGCTAGTGCTTTGGCACAAAACACAAAGAGGTTGTGTTTTATTGACAACTCTGAAATCAAACTTCTTTTTCATTTTTTGCTTTTAACTTTTGGTCAGATCCTCCTGATGGCATTCCTCAAGGTCCTGGAGGACGGCAGTCACATGGTTATGATGGAGTGTCCTGAGGCTGTCAACACACTGCTGCATGAGTTTTTCCTCTGGGAGCCCACCACCCCACCACCGCCAAAGAAAGACTCCAAAGCACGTCCAGACACTGCCAAAGCCCAAACTGACACCAATACTACATGTGAGTCTGCCAAGGTCCAAACCGCAACTGTCTGGCAGACCTCATCGGACGGAGAAGCAGAGGCGGAGCCAGACAGCAAGGCCAAAAAAATGAGTGGTGATTAAAGCCGACTCAGGGTAAAGCTAGTGACACTAAATCATGGCTGGCTATGCACGTTGTGTGTCGTTGTGACCTGAGCTGGTTGGAGTTGTTGAACCTGATCATGAGCCAGTTTCTCTGAAATGGTCCAGCTGAAGGTTATGAGGGTGGGACACTGTGCAGGGAGTTTGACTTTATGTCAGCTGCAGTTTACAGCGCTCTGTCCTAAACGTACAACAGTTGAGATACGGTTGCCTAGATGTGCTGGGGTACGTGGAGCAGGGGACAGGAACAATAACATACAGCCACGAGGGGGAGGGTGAAAATGAACCTGCCACTCAGATGGGTACAGTTTTGAAAGGGAAACACTTGAATGACTCTGCTGCTCCTAAAAGCAAAACAACTGGTTGGTGTGAAACATGCTCCTGATTTACTGCCTGTTATGATGCTCCATGTAAAACACTGGCAGAGCCTTGTCAAACCGAGCTGGGTGGCTAACAAGCCTAATGTATTAATTAGCCTTCTTGAAGTTTAATTGTGACACACTTATCCAGCTGTGAAATATTTATGTGTGCACATAATGATATATTTCAAACTTCATTTGTTGTAGAAGGAGTTTTAAAGTGTTTAACACTACACACAAAAAGCTTTGAAGTTTGCAGGGGAAGCAGCAGCCTTACCTGTGACTTGCTGTAGTTATGGGATTGACTGTAATAGCTACTTGTGGTGTTTAACGGAAACAGAAAAGGGTATTTTGTGGGTGATTGTGTTAGTGATTGTAATGATTTGGACAGCAGTGAAAGTAAATTTGCTGCTTCCAGTGAAATATGTGTTCAGTTACATTAAGTTTATCCTACATTTGGCAATAGTGGAGGCTCAGTGATGAATCCTGATATGACAGTATGTGGACAGATTGGGCCAAAGACTTTGCACAAGAGGAAAACTTGCATTGAGATGAATCAGGGAGGTGCAAAACTTAGAGATGACACCACACTATTTTTGTAATGTGGTCCTGTGCGGGTACTGTAGCATTTGTGATATCACACTACAGCAAAAAGTCAGTATTTACCTTTAATAGTGTTAGAAAACACTTGTCCTCATGTCATAAACCCTTGGTTCACATTGGGTGACCTTCTCTGATCTCTGAGCTGTAGATGAAGCACAAATTCAACTGTTTTCTCTTGGCTCTTTGTGCTGTATGTGATATTTTTATTACATAGAATATACTTTTATACATTGTACTTTGATTTGTGAAGGGTATTTAGAGATGAAATTGAAGTCCATTAAAGATGCAGACCTGCAGATTTCGTGTTTATGAATGTCCCGAACTAAAGGAAACTGTCCATTTTTATCTTGTTTGCCTTTGACAGTGATTTCCGTAACAAATTGCAGTTTTTAAAATGTTCAATCTATCAAATAAATGACTACATGTGGTGAATTTACAACAGTGGGCAATGGTGTTTTTAATATGATTTAAACCTCTGTTTAGCCAGTGTGGGTTTGCTGATGAGCATTCACATAAACATACCTGTGAGCCGCCCAGTTGAACTACAGTCTATTCAAACTTCAGACACTGTACGTGTTCTGATGGGCACTAGTGTCTGCTGAGAGGTGTTCTGGCTGAATATTAGGACCCAGTTTAGACATAAAACTAATATAAACACATATTGTATGGTAACGTCACAATGTAGTCTAAGATCTTTCTTGGTGGCAGTAAATATTCATTAGTATGTAAACGACAATTAAAGTCACTGTTGAGGAGCGAAGACTTTTGGGTGTTATTTATCAAGTGGTAAAATACTTCAACCCTAAGAGAGACTTGATTTATTAGGATGTGGTTTGATGACATTTGATTTTACAGTCATCAGAAACATTACTTAACCCTAATCAGTGAATGGAAATAGGTGGCATCATTTTGAGCCGAACACTAAAATTACTTGTGAAATAACCAGTACTGTTCTAACAGGGCTACTAGTTAGTAGGCCGCTCAGGGCTACTAACCTGCTTTGTCAATCACGTAATCAGAAGCTGATTTTGAGTTTTTCTGAGCTGAGTTTTTGAAGCCTTTCATAAATGTTATGGACTAGGTAAATCCAGTCTAATTCAGATGATGGAAAACAAAATGACAGCAGTTCATAAGTAAGTACTCTGCTTCACTCTTATTGTAAATCTGTTTTAATGAAATTGGCTCAGTGTCACATATACACCCCTATACATTCAGTTAGAAGTTGATTAGGTACAGCCAGCTAACTCTAACGCAGTCTAATAAGACAGACCTGTGATAAATGCCCCCTCCATGACAGAGATAATGTTCATGTTTTTGGAAACATTTTAATTATTTTGGAAGATGCTGAAGGTGTGCTGTAGAATTGAATCACATTATACTGACTGATGTTTCCATTATTTTGTCCACCCCATTTTTATTAAGAAAGCTAGGCTAAATGACAGAAGCTCCTCTTTGTATAATGAAGCCCAGTTCAGCAGCAGCAGCAGCACAAACTACATGATGAAGCTAGAGTTGAATCACCTGGCTAAAATAGTGTGAACATAAACAGAACATTGTCGCCTTCATGAGGGATGATTTATTACAGGGCTGTTCTATTAGACTGCGTTCATTTAAACTTGGTTTACCTAAAAAATACTAATTGAGTGTGTATAAATGTAGACCACAGGGTCTGTTTGTTTAGAATAAAAAAGAACACATACACCAAACGTAATATGCTAATAAACCCAGAGTTTGATAACAGCATTTCTAGTAAACTTTTCTGAAAACTTTGCATGCTTACATATTGTCTTGTAACTTACTTATAACTTAGTTTAAATCGTATTTCCGGAAAGTCACCCCTAAAATGTTTGATCAAATACATACATACATTCATAAAGAGATTAAAAGAAAGCAATAACCGAAGCACTTATTCTGAAAAGTAAAACCATAGCCATGCACCTGTCGCCCTCTCAGACCTCCACAGTGACAGCGGGACCATTGCCGGTGTCCTCCAGTGGTGTGGTCTCTGTGGGGGTGCTGGAGACTTTGTCAGCCTCCTCTTGTTTGTCTTCCTTCTCTACATCAGCCACCAGAGGGGTGGTCTCTGCTGCCCCCTGCTGATCATCGTTGGTAGTGCTGACTGGCTGCTCTGCTGCTGCGGCTGTTTGTGCGGCTGTTTCATTGACAATCTGGACAGAGTCGGCTGCAGGGACCTGTACTGCTTTTATGTCCCCATTCTGGATAGGGATGACCCTCTCTAGAGCATCATACAAGAACTGGTACTGCTCCTGTGAGAGACGCAGACAGATGGGTGGAAACGTAAAGATAAGCTTCTATGTTATAGCCTCTAATAGGACTAAAGCTTTCTTTGTACAGTAGACTTTAATCTTACACTGTCACACACTTTTCCAAAAAATACAACAAAACACAAATTAGAGCTCCAGAAATCATCTTTAAATGATTTAAATTATTAAAATATCTTAATTATTGTAAAAAAAAAAATCCCATGATATATTTTTCCATAGGTGAAAATAGTCCTGTGAAAAAGCACCCATTATTCCTGCTTGAGTAATGTTTACTAAAAATTACAACACCCAGCTGTTTTAAGACATTATTTAGCAGCTTTTAAAAATCAAAGCATACATTTGGGACTTGTATTGAAAGATTTACATCTTTAGGAGCTGTGTTGGATTGGAAACCTGTCCAGGGTGTACCCCGCCTTCGGCCGATTGCCGGCCGGGATTGGCTCCGGCCCCCCCCGTGACCCCGTTCAGGGACTAAGCGGTAGAAAATGACTGACTGACATCTTTAGGAGGAGCTAACGGGCTTGGATCCGAGAGTAGGGACGTCAAAGTGCTGGGAGATGAACTAGCTCATTGTTGGGTTTGGTCTCTTACATAAGCAAAGAAACTCAATTAAAGGGGAGAGATTACTGCTAGACTGACAGATTATTATTAGTGTGGTGCTGGTTATGTGAAATACATGGACACATTTAAAAACATTTCAACTTTTGAACATGAATGCACATGGAAAACTCTCTAATCTAATTACAACAAACTTTGCAGACCATCATCTGTCTGCAGTGCAATGTGGAAGTCAAAGCAGTGAGACTACTGCATGTGTATTGTAAGATATCAGCTTCCTCTTCCTTACCAGAGTGGAGACCAGACCCTGTCTCCCCTTGCGTAGGGTTTTGACCACCTGGAAAACATCCACCAGCTTCTCAGTCTCTGCGCTGTCCAGCAGGTTCCACAGGGCGCAGAAAATCCCTGAACGGGACGAGCCATTGCTGAGGAGAGGGAGCACACAAGCACAACATGGTTATTATTAAACAGTGTGATTAATTCCTCTAACTCCACCTTTTCTACATCATAGTCAGCCACAGCGTGTCCTAGCAGGCCAGGCCTGTGTTTATCAGACTGTTCACTTGACCCCCAACGTGTTGTACACTTCGTTTCTTCTGTATTTCTATATTGTGAATATATTAGAAGATTTCACACAATCAAAATAAACTAATAAATAAAATAAAAAGATCTTGAAAAAATAGGTGTGTTTCTGCAGGGAAACATATCACCGACTCAAATATTAGGATTGTTTTTTAAATAAACAATGGGGCAGATGTTATTGTGTTATGCTGTGACTCGGGCTCTTTAACATGAAAGTAGGCAGGGAGTGTTTTTGCCTCCAAAATAGTCCTGAAGTGGGGCTTTGAAAGTTGAGTCATCTTTGTAAAAACATAACTGAATAAGTTGCGGTCACACACACGCCGGCCCTCATGTAATGGAGGGCGTTTCCTTTGAGGATTACTCACTTGCAGTGGACGACGATGGGCATGCTCCTCTGGGATTTGCTGCTGCCACAGGTGTTTCTGATATCCTTCATCATGTCTGTGAGATCCTGAGGTTTCTCTGGCAGCTCTCTGTTCCCCCACTTCAGGAACTGGAACTGTTTCACTTTCCGACTATCTTTCCTCTGTGGACAAAAGTGGTGTTGGGTTAAACCAGCTTGTGGTGTTGAAATGAAGAGCAGAGTGGACTTTATTACAGCTACAGAGTAGGGGATGTTGTGTTACCTTCACATGACTGATCAGCATGTTGCGAGTGATGGAAGTTGGTGAGGTTTCTGTGCTTTCCACCTCAACCTCAAAGTCTCCAAATGTTTCCTTTTCTTTAGCCCAGTAGACAGAGTCATTGGACTCCTGTTAACACAAGAAAACAAGTGTTTGTACTCTGGACTGTATATTATATACAGGTACAACAATATATTTTATTATGTGTGCATGGTAAGGATAGCAGGTATGGTGCTTTAGGAACCTTATCCCCCTCGCTTACGTCTGAGAGCATCACAATAGTGGAAGCTTTCTTCTGGTAAACCATTGTCCAGAAGTCTGCCATGGTATCTGGCAATGGAGTCTGTGCTACGATGAAGGCGCGTGAGCCCCAGTAGCCCTGTGTGAGCAAGAAAACACATTCATCTACTGAAATACACAGTTCAAACAAATAAGATGCGATCAATTTAATTAGTTTGTTTTAAGATGATGGGAATTAATGTAGTTACAAGACAGCACCTGCTATAGCAGGAGAGATGGAAACAGGAACACAGTGTGTTGTGCTTTGATTAAACAAAACACCCTGGCATCCAGGTTAATGTCAGTCAATCTAATGCACAGACACGTTAGGAAATAAGTTGAAAATAACATACATCTAAGTGGGAGGCATTGATATATTTAGTGGACTCTTCATCCTCTTCATCTGATGACTCCTCCTCCTCCTCGTCCTCAGCAGGGTCACTATCATGACTGTGTCCTTCGTCTAGCCTCAGCAGCACTCGGTTGTAGTCGTCTGAGGGGGGTACAGTATCATGTATCGTGGATGTATGTACATAAACATAGTGCACGTACACCAACAGTCTGTGCTGTTGTTGATATTCTGCAGCGTAAAATGCTGAGCTGACACTCACATGGGATGACAGAGGAAGAGCGATTCTTCTTCATGTTTTCTTCTGTGATCCCCGTGTTGAACGTCCTCCAGTTTTTAAAAGTGGGGAGTCTCTGAATCGCAAGACAAAACCTTTTCATTATTAAGTCATTTCTAGTAATATCTTACAACGATTTCATCAATATTTATTAAAAGCTAGGAGAGAATAAAAGGAAAAAGAGAGGGCTGAGACCTTTGTAAAGACATTTTAATGGGATCACAAACACCAAAACATTTCTGTTATTAAATGTTTTTGAGATTTACACTATTGTCTCAGGTAACAATAATTTTTCTCATATTATTGTGGCTCCATGCATATCACTGGTAGGTATAGGTTAAAAAAAAATCTGTGTTTTACCTCAAACTCCTCCTCCATTAATGTGGGCTCGTTGCCTGAGCTCTTCTCTTTCAGAGTGCTCAGCATGCTGTGGAGCTCAGACAGGGTGATCTCTGTCTCCCCAAACTGGTTGTACTCCAGCAGAGCCTGGTGGATCAGGATGTACTGCGTCTATGTGGAGACAAATGTACTTAATATAGAGAGGATAGACTATTTAGCAATAAAACAACATCAACAAGCCACGTGTTAGAGTTCTCCTCGCTTATAAATCCCTTTCTAACTCGTCCACAGCTTTTCTCTGCCTCCTCCTTTTTGATTGGTTTACATTTAATAAACAAAATGCTGCTTTGTTTTTGTTCTTCAGTTTGCCTTCAAAATGTGTTTCGCACTACACACAGTACTGTACATATGTAAATGAAAATATTCAAAACATAAATATACATCTCAGCACAGTGTCTATAAAATACCCCTGCAATGTTCATGTACTCTATGCTGTATATTTTCATTATATTGCGGTGTAATATAGTGTATGTTGTATAATACGGTAGCTGCACATTAACAGTAGGTAAATTCTTGATAGAACCTGGAGTGTTCCACCAAAACGACACTCGATCAATGCACTGAGATTAAAAACATCAACTATAACTGAATAAATATAATATATTAATAAACTCAGAATAAAAAATTCAAATAATTACATTTGCAAGTTAATTATTGTGAATCAATTGATTTTTAAACTGGAATTTCTGTTTTCTGCTGATTTGTTCTACACACTATGTTATTATTCTTGTTTATCCTTTTTAAGATTAATCATCTCTGTTTAGTTGTATATTCATGTTAGTTTCTTTCTGTTTGCTCTAAACACATGCAGGTAAACATGCACACAAACACACAATAAAAACTATTTGATTTAAATTCCTTGCATGTATCAACGTACTCTGCCAATAAATGTAGTTTAACTGTGATTCTAATAAGACACAGAGTCTAAGGTATGATCTAAATTAACAGGTTACCTCGACTTGGACCATGAGACATCGCTGTCTGCGGAGTCTGACTACGTATCCGTAGATATCCACTCTGCCCTCTGCCTCCAGACCCTCCATCATGGCATCAATGCCAATGTAGGTGCCTGTCCTGCCCACTCCAGCACTGCACATGAAAGAATGACACCGCTTTAGTATCGGCTATAGTTCTTCTCTCAGTATACATGTCAATCAGCGGGAGTGAAGGCAAGGCCAGGCGTTGGTTTAAAAGAAAACAGACTGTATATCAGTGCATCTCAGTAATGCACTGGGGAAATTAGCACAAAATATGTCTGTAGGTTTGGCCTAAATAAGAAGGGAAATGGAATGGAATGTGAAGATATTAGTGGATTCTGTGCTAACCAGAGCCGGTACAAACACTGAAATGAAACTCACGTCCAATACAAGAAATTAGAATTTTGTTCTACTATTAGTAAATTAAATGTTGTTCATGTTGATAATTTGAGCTCAGAGAAGTGACACTAGAACGGGACCTTGTACATACCTGCAGTGAACGACGATGGGGCCACTGAAGAAATTCTTGAAAGCATTGACACGCCGCCTCAGCTTCAGGAGGAGCTGCGGCTCATCTGGGACGCCGTGGTCGGGCCAGCTCATGAACTGGATGTGGGTCACCTCCCTCTCTGAGTTCTTCTCCCTCTTCTGCAGACACACACACACACACACACACAGATGATTATGCAAACATGCACAAAGACAGAGATCTATTAATATGTAACTAAGCATATTTATTGAGCTGGCCAAATGTGCTGGCCTTCAGTTTTACACAGACACACACTCACAAGTTAACAATAAACTACATGTGTGTGCCCTGCATGGAGACTCACATTAGTCAGGCTGAGATGGCGGATGATGTAATCTGGACAGGAGTCCTCTGAGCTCAGCTTGACTATGAACTCCTCAAAGATCTCCGTCTCTCGCTGTGGAGACGGCCAGTACTGTGCACACTTGGCCTGTGGCACAACGTGAGACAGTGACCCAGTTTTTCCAGTCAGTAACACACTAAGCCTGCTGATTGATCACTTTAATGCACAAAAGGCAAATAAGCAATTATTAAAAGCAGACTGCTAGAGATAAAACAAGTAGGTACCATTCTCCAAGAGAGGAAACCACCGTGTGATATAGTATAGATGGCAGGGCACATATAACATATGTAATACATATATATGTAAAATATACAATATACATATAAATCTGCCTTTCTCACCCTGCTTCCCTCTTCACAACGTGTCACCATGACGATAATAGAGGACTGCTGCTCCCAGATCATCCTCCAGAAATCACACACAGTCTCTTCCTTTGGCCCTGCATCACACAGAGGACATAGGCACATTCATGTGAAACAGAACATGTGTAGTGCCTGAGTGTGTAAAGAAAATGAAAACATGATTTTACCTTGAGCTGCAATGTACTTCTTGGGTTCCTTGTACCCCTGCAGTAACAGTAAGGTGTGTTGTCAGAAGGAGGTAGTGAACTTTGTGGCTATTTAGTCTTAAAAAGCAAAGTAATTAAATGTCTATGCAGTTTGAAACTGTTATTCTAAATGCTATGGGTGCAGCAGTAGCAGTAAAAGCGGAAGTAGTGTGAAGTAGTGCGTGGGCTTTTCCATACATCGATGAAGCTGGCGTTGATGTAGTCACATCCTGCCTCCCCGTTTCCTGTGGTCAGCTGTACCCGGTTATAGTCATCTGGTTCAAGTTAGACATAAATTACTTAAAAAACATCACATATGACTCCGTAATGACATCAACACCGCCCGTGCGCAGGTGTGAGTGGCTGTAAGTTCAGTATATATCATCATACAAGTTAACCCCTAGTTATGAGGTTCTAAAATAACTGATCATGTGATTTACTGTGTGTAGGTGGCTTTTAATGGTGGAAACTAAGAGTAAATAAAATGACACAACATACATCTGCTTAGTGCTTTTGCTACTTTTATCGACAAAGCTTCCTGTGTTGTTAGACTCCTACTCACATGGCAGGATGTCCACATAACGGTTCTTGGTGGCATTACAGGGCTTTTTGGCCTCTTTCACTGAGTACCTTGAGAAAATTCTGGGGATGCTCTGAAAGCATAAACAAATGACGTCATTTTCCAACTGGTTATAGGCCAACGGCCCTAGCATGTATATCCAACCTCCTGTCCAGACTCGGACTTTTGCTATATGTCATATCCCTCTCTGTAAACCATCTCACTAGAAACTAGCTTATAAACAAAATGATACCAAAAATAATCCCTTACAAAAAAAATAGTAGGGTTACCTGATAGTAAATTTACCTGAAACTCAGCCAGGAACAGTCTTCCCTCATCGGCAAACTTCCTCTTGTAGGCTTCCAGCAGAAGATCTGCTGCTATTGGCTCGACAGGCAACAGGCTCTCCTCTTCATCTAGACAGCAAACCAGTCAGCAAATGGGAAACACTTTACACAAACAGGAAATTCTGCAACTTCTGCAACAAGGGCACAGTAGTTTAAAAACATGCAATGAAAACATGTTTGGAGCCAGTGATAAAATCTAGTATGAGATATAATGTAATACACAGTAACAATGTAATACTGTAATACTACTCGTCTGCTATTAGCATTCATCCATATATTAATAATTTTGTTATTTAATATGTAAATCATGTAGTAAAGGACAAAGCCCAGACAAACACAGGACTAAAATGTACTCACTTCCTGTTGAAATAAGCCCAAAGTTTTCACTCAGGTCACTGCAAAGAAAACAGTGAAGATTGGCTTCAAAGACTTTGATAATAGTAGCGATTTTTCAGTGAACTGTATAATGAAACTGAAATGCAATAATAATACTAATAATAGTACAGATTACAATACATACTGCCTTGGAATAAAACCATCAGATTTATTTGTGTAAAACCAAACAATCACACAAATATACAAAAACTAGTGCGATCTGACATCTGTCACACTGGTGCAGGAGGTAAGACGTATGCACAAAGATCCTTACCGGGACTTTCTGCGTCTCAAGATGTAGATCTTGTAGAAGACCAGGAGCAGAGCCACAGATGTGAGGATGATGAAGATATTATTTATAATTGTGATTTTTTTTTTGTAATGATAAAAAAATATAAGATGTATTTATATGCAAATTTAGATGCACATTTATGGTGGTATTTAAATGGTATTTATGTCAAAGATGCAATATTCTAATGGTTATGAGAAAATTATATAAAAGGGGTGGTATTAATGTCAAAGATACAATATTCAGAAATGGATGTGTAAACAGTGTCAGAACAAAATGTGAGTATGTGGAGTGTATCAGAACAAAATGTGTCAAATGATTTAAATAAACAAAAAGAAATAATTGATGGTATTAATTAAAACAGCACTTACAGAGAGTGTCAACATCTTTTGTCGCGGGGCGGCTGCTCTCAAAATGTCCGTTGGAAACTGACACCTGCAGAGACAGAAAATCTCTTTATTGTTATTGAAGCATTTGAAGAATCATGAGAAATACATTGGCCATGTTCTTGTGAAAGTAAAAGGTAAGATTACACAAACCTGCACCGTGTAGCTGGTAGAGTAGCTCAGATCTTTGAATTCAAAGTTACAGTCCCCATTCGTATATTCAAGCAATTTAGCATCGTCGCCTTTATAAAAAAGACGAGCTATGTATTCTTTTTCGTATCATTAAACAATTCATGAGTGTCACCTCTATAAAAAAGACGAGCTATGTATTTCTTCTGAGGTCCATAGACACGTTTATAATTGTATTCACAGGTCACTCTAATCATATTATGCTGTGCAACAGTCACTGTCAGTTCCTTAGAGATATCTTCTGGTACTGTAAGAGAGCAAAGGAAAAGATATTGAACTTCAGATACAACACTGTATGAACACACAGTTAAAGTGAGATTTAGTTTGTTATATTTGGCCTTGAAATTAAGCAGTCCTGTTTTGTTTTGTTTTTTACATAAAGCTGTTTCAAAAAGGACTGACTGAAAAAACTCTGAATGTCCATCCATACATTATCTATACCATTATCCCGAAGAGGGTCACGGGTGGCCTGGAGCCAATCCCAGCTGACAGTTGACAAGAGGCAGGGTCCACCCTAGACAGGTCGCCAGTCTATGACAGGGCTGACATTCAGAGTCAAACAACCAAACACACCCCTACCGGGAATTTAGAGTCACCAGTCAACCTAATCTGCATGTCTTTGGACTGTGGGAGGAAGCCGGAGTACCCGGAAAGAACCCACACAGACACAGAGAGAACATGCAAAGTCCACATAGAGCGGCACCGGATCAGCCGGGTCTCAAATCTACAACCTTCTTGCTGTGAGGTGACAGCGCTAACCAGCATGGCACCATGCCGACCCAAAGATAAAAAAAAAAATAAAAAAGTGAGATGAAATACATAGATAACAGACATTTTAAAAATATTTTTGAAATTTATAGAGGTTTTTTTTAGTTCTTTACTTGAACATTGTACTTTTAAAACATAATTGGCAGTTTTATTAGTTTCTTTTATTTAGTAATCGATTACAATCTAAGGCTGAAAACGTTAGATGCCACACTACAGACGAATAAGATGCAGTCAGAGAATACAACTGAGGAAAATGGCTGTCATTACATTTTTAATTTCTATCAAATTCAGTTATATTATTTACAATTGTGATTTCTATAATGATAAAAAATAGAAGATGCATTTCAAATTAAAATAAAATAATTAGTTTAAATAACGTCAAGTAAATTTGTGTCTCAAAGTTATATGATTTATTCAATAACCAGAGTGACCATATTTTCGTTGGTCTAATGGAGCTGGAATACGTTACATGATACCAGTTTTCTCTCAGATACTGACACAGATCGAACGCTGTGCTGTCTTAAGAACGTGTTTCAGAAAAGACACTGACTTTCACTGCACAGTATCACAGTTACAGTATCTTAAATACATATGTATGAGCAACAACTTAGACAGATGAATAGTCTGGACAGTTTATCATCATATGCAGTAGGTTTAGATTTTAATCTCCAAAAGAACATTTTGTAGACACTTACTTCCAACGTCAGTTTTCACTTTCACTTGAACTGATTTGGAAACATCCTTGTTGTTGTAGGTGGGTTGGATGTTACAGACGTAATCGGTGTAGGGTTGAAGTCCAGTGAACTTACATGTTCCTCCATCAGTATGAACAACGACAGATTGTTCTGTTGGTCGAGCTGCTCATTAAGAGACAGGAAAATAGACGTCATTCAATCAATCAATATCATGTATTACCGGCACGCTAAAACTTTACTGTACATTATGGGCTAATAGGTGAGTTGACTGGGAGAATGAACATGTGGAATTGTTTCCATTGAATAAACACCATGTCCATATTATTTCTGTATCATATGTAAATGTTGTGAATCTTCTTCACCAAACTTGACATCATCTAATCTCCATATCACTCAGGAGGCTAAAACGTTTTCATGGATGATTCAGATTTCCACAGTATGTTTCACTTTTCACTGTAGGTAAACTGACTAGTGTGAGGATCTCCAACAACTTCCAAAAGACATTCTTGTAAAATAATAAAAATGACTTAGTTTTACTTACCCCTGTGTTTCTGACTGGAGGAAGAACAAGTGCAGGCATAAGAAAACTTCTCAAGTTTGGGAAGGACGTCACGACAGTTCCAACTGGTTGTGGTCCAACTCAACTCAATGGAAGTACTGGTATTACTGGTCTGTCTCTGTATTTCAAGGTCTGTTGGGACACATCAGACACCTGTAACACTGAACTGAGCACCTGGTGCCATTCTTCACTCTGTTGTATCTGAAGATACAATCTCATCATCACACTCAGATAAACTGAATGTCAACATACCACAGTCCACCCTAAATGTGATGGCAGGTGTGTGTTTTATAGTGATGTTGTTGTCCTTGATGTGACCAACACAGCTGTAGTCTGTGAAGGGCTCCAACTGAGACAATGTCTTGGGCTCGGTTTGTTTTCCAGGTTCTGAGGAGACACAAGGGTGACAGCATTTCTACCTCAGTACCTAGAACCACTTATCTTTTACATTAAAACTTCTATTTGGAACCGATTAACATGAAGTCTCTGTACTTCCAGTCTTTCCACTTACCTGAGCAGGTGTAATCAATGGAGAGGTTTTTACAGTTTGGAGGAAGCTTTGGTTCTATTTTTGGAGGAAGTTCATTGGGTAAGCTCTTAAGTATTTCATTTTCATCTAAGAAACCTGAGGAAAGAGGAAAGCAGGACAACATTAGACATGAGGCAGTGAAGTCTGCACCACATACAAATCAAACCACAGACTGTGTTGTACATACCGGCTGTGATGCTGGTGGTGATGGTAAAGGAAGAGTTCTCACAGTTTCTTGATTTGAAGTTTGTAGCAAAATCTGAGCAAAAGTCGTTGTCACCAAGTTTAACACATGGTTTATTGTTACA